CTTGTGTTTGGAAATAAGAGAATCGCTCAACCGCCGGATTATTGCGTAGGAAGATGTTCGAGAACACCCTCCAGCCATTCTTATCGTATTTTCGATAATTGGATTGACAAAACAAATGGGTTAGATTCGGAATTCGATACGAGTTATCTAACATCCAACGTCAACTAAACACTGAAAGGTGTGGAGTGAGTAGGGTAGGGTGTGACTTCTTAGTCATGGCAACACTCTGACTTCTCGATGGCGAGGGATTGGGCTTTGATCCATCTCAATCCCTCGCAAAGGAAGAAAGTTGGATCGTTCGACATCCATGTGCCTCCTAATATACGCGATTCATTTTGTCATTGTCTGGCCAATGTCAAGAAAATGATGAAACGATAAACGCATCTATTCTCTTACAACGCGTTTGCTTTCCGAGATAAGGTGAGATATCCTGACTTATCCTACATTAATCCCACGTTTGCTTGAAAGGATAGCAGCCAAGTTTAATCCCACTGGCCCGGTATTAAAAGTCCCCTTATCCTGCTTTTAATGGGACAACTCAATCCCACCTTTTTGGTGAGATAACAACTATCCTGGTATGTGTTATACCAAATATGCCCCCATAATTTTTTTTTTTATTTCAAAATTTTGCTCATGAAAAGGTTAATTCCTTTGAGGAAAATATAATTAGTCTTGTCCATAGATAATAAACTCGAATTGGCTTTACTTGGAGAGGCATTAATTTTGCAACTAGTACAAATGAGTAGAGCTGTTAGATGTGTGCTGGTAAAGCCACAATTCACTTTAGTAATTTAAATTTTTAAATACATTTACATTTTGACTGTATTTCATATAAATATATAAATATAATACTATGTATATGTGTATATGGTATAATAAAGTAATGTAACTATTGTGATTACAGCCTACTTGCTTGAGTCAATTATAACAATATTGCATCAAGCTTTGTTCAACCAAAATTTTCTGCTTCCTCCTGCTTCATGTTCCAGTCACACACCTATACGTGAGATTCATCTCACGATCAACTGAATCACAAATACAATCATCTCGAACTCCCCTTAACAGCAGCTCATTAAGTGATTTCGGCTGCAACTCCGGAAGCTGATTATTTCCCACAGACCTCTTCTGTGACCGCAACATTCGAACTTTACACGGAGGTACGAGCACGTGATTATGGCTTTTTTCAAAGTGGGTCACACGGTACTTACCATCCACTTGACGAGAAATTACCAGCTGTG